ATATATATATATATGTTATGCTAAATATGATGGAACATTATTTCACCTCTATTTTGACATTTGATTTTAACAAAAGTTATTTGAATCATTGAACTAGACACTGGTTTCTATGTGTTTTTATAATTACTTTTGTACAGTAAAAAAAATAATATTGCTGTTTATTGTTGAGTTTTAATATTCTGTTGGATATACTGTAAATTGATTAAATATTAATATCTTTAATGTGATAAATATCATTCTTGTGTTAATTTAGTAAAAAAAAACATGCCACGATTATTTCCAACTAGATTCTTTGATGTATTTTACATTTCCTAAATGCTTTGAATCTGCTTGAATTCTCCAAAGTTCTTAGTAAACAAATGGTTGTGGATTTCATTGCCATGTCATTACAGTGTCAACATGTTCGTTTAACTGTCAGCCAGCTGCCAGTGACAGATTTCCACCCACAAGCCTAGAACTCCTTGATATTTCTCATTTGCATATTACTAAAAAGGAATGAGTCATTAAAAACAGTCATGAAAAACCAATGAAAACATAATGAACCGTTAATAAACCGCCACATTTATATGATTTATGTGCCAATTTACCTTAATTTTTAACAGATTGTGATTTGATCTTCCAATGAAGATAAACACAGAGATCATTCAAGACTTAAGTGATGCCTTTGATTTTTGGCAGTTTAAAACTCAAATCCTTGCTGAAAACTTTTCGAGAAACTTTGGTACATGAAGTCATAGTACCATAAGTGGTACATAACATCATCCTTCAGACTTTTTCCTGCACTCTAGCCAGAGTTACCACATTTCACAAATCAACCGCCAGCTGCGAGAAAACAAAGTTGACGGTTTGCATATTCATACAGCATGATTCGTATTGGAATGTACGATTTAAAAAAAAAAAAATCAAGCATGAAAGTCCACCTCTAAACCTAATCGTCAGTTAGTATGATCTAATTTGTACACTTTCGTAAAATCTGTTTACACCCAGTCGTACGAAAACGTACAAATGAGTACAAATTAATTTAAATTAGCCACCAATTCGCCAAAACTTACAATAGTAACAAATTGGCAATAGAGTGTGTTGAGCCACTTGACAAACATTACAAGAAAGTGCATTGCAGTTTCACAAGTAATGAATGTGATTTGAATGCCCATTTGTCAAGCATACTTTAAAGTCAACATGAAATCAACACACATTGTTGGTCTTATTGTAATCGGTTAATCAGTGTATGTTACTCTAAAGAAGAAAAACACTTTGCTGTTTAATATCTAATTAAAATGAAATGTGATTAGAAATTATCCAACATGCTCCACCTTTAAAATGGCTTCACAACAAACTACCATACACTCTTAAAAATAAAGGTTTCAAAATGGGTTTTTTGCAGTGATGCCATAGAACAGGGGTCCTCAACTCTGGACCTTAAGATCCACTTCCCTGCAGAGTTTAGCTCCAACCCTAATCAAACACACCTAAACAAGCTAACCAAGGTCTTCAGGATTGCTACAAAGTTGCAGGTAGGTGTGTTTAGTAGCTAGGATCTCGAGGTCCAGAGTTGAGGACCCCAGCCATAGAAGAACCATTTTTGGTTCCCCAGTGAACCTTTCTGAGAACAGAACCACTTTTTCTTAGAGTGAAGAACATTGAAGAACCTTTTTCCATGAACGGAATGGAAATGGTGTTAAAGGATCTTAATGGAACCACTGATGCCAATAAAGAATCTTTGTTTTTAAGAGTGTATAGTAACTTTCGCAATCCAATCAAATCCCGATGGATAAAACCAAGTTTTGTCCTGAAATATTGTACTTCTTGGTCACATAAATCAAATGGGTTATGAACACCATTTTGTGTTGACTTTAAACCCAAGATGGGACATTTAAAAGCTACCAAGTGCTTCCAGAGCCTGTAGGGCTCTGATCTAATATGGTTCCACGTGATCCCCAAGTGCACAGACACTCCAGACCCAGCCTACCTCATCAAAACCCACAGACGGATGAGCGGGGAGTGAGCTTTGTAATCAATAAGCTGACATTTGCTTTGTTTCATTTTCACAGGAGGTCGGTAGCATCATAGGCAAGGTGAGCGAATCTCTTTGTTCCTATTGTCCCTGCTGTTGACTTATTAGATTTGGTGGATGCGTCTTGAGATTTTTGTCGCTATTGGGTTTGTTTTTTCCTCTGTATTAGATTGTTCTCACAATCTTCCTCACAGACCTTTAGGTTACAATCCAAAAGCCCAGATTAGAAACCTACAGAATGTATCACTATGCGACTTGATGTTTCCTAGCAAATGGCTTGTTAAATGCGACGAGTCGTGCATCTTATGTATTAATGATCTGGATATATTACGCTGTTCAATTCTACAGCTAGCTCTGTTTATCCCTAGAGCGAGTGCAATTGTCTAAACATGGCACAATCTCTTGGAGAGGCCCGATGTAGATGTCACAATGATTAGTAAACAGTGTGTCAGCTACTGATGGGATGATTTTTGTGGGATTTTTTTTCCCTGCTTCGGACACCTCTGGGTCCTGGAGTGACAAAACACATACACGCACAAATACACACGGTTGTTGGCATTTCCTTGGCTCCAAATAAATCTCTTGTGATACACAAAGCTCTCTTCAGAACTGGCCTGCTAATAGGTCTCTGGGCCTTTGCCAGAGTTTGGCCTCAGGACAAGAGCCAGACGGACGGATACAGACCACTCTGAGCTCCATTGCTGCAAATACGTCTTCTTGAAAACACAGTTCACTCTTGTCTTGCACAAAAAGAATTAAAAAATGAAGACTGTTGCAGTGTCCTAAAAGTGATGAAGAATATGTGAACACAAACGCAAACTTGATTTCATAGTGTGTTCTGATTAAAACATTTAAACAACAAATCAAGAACAAGCTTAGCTGCACTTACTGTAGCAGGGATCTCATCAACCAATGAAAAACAAACGGTAACTGCAACAAGTAATGGCCGAAACATAGTCTGCACCAGAGCTGGGTAGATTACTTACAAACTGTAGTCGTTACTGATTCCAAATTACATGACAAAAATTGTAGTTGACAGACTACTTTTTGATTACTTCAACTCGCTTATCACATTGATTTAAATCAGATAATCCTGTACCATTAGTTGTATTTTTGATATGCAATGTTGAAACACTTCTTAAACCTGAAATGATTTTTGTAAATCGAGTGGTCAAATGCTGTGTAGCCACCTGACTAATGACTGTTTTTTAAATTATTAAATTATAAATTGTAATAATGTTACAGTAAAAATGTTCAAATGTAATTTAATCTAATTACAAGTACTTTATTTTTGTAATCGGATTACGTAATCAGATTACATAATCAGTTACTACCCAGCTCTGGTCTGCGCAGACATGTGAACGCAAGCATTCCCTGCTAAGCAAACTTGATTTAATATTGTGTTCTGATTAAAACATCGAAACAACAAATCAAGAACAAACTTAGGTGCACTTCCTGTAGCAGGGATTTCTTTGAACAATAAAAACAAAGCATAGCTGCAACAAGCAGTGCCAGAAACAGAATCTATGCAAGTAGGTGAACGCAAACGTTCCTTGCTACACAAACTCGATTTCATATTTTATTCTGGTTAAAACTTCCAAACTACAAATCAATAATAAGCTTAGCTGCACTTCCTGTAGCAGGGATCTCATCAACCAATAAAAAGAAACCGCTGCAACAAGTAGTGCCTGAAACATACGCAAGTATGTGAATGCGCGTTTTCCTTGCTACGCAAACTTAATATTTACGCACATTTTTTTACCATATGCAAACTTTATATCGTGTTCTGGCACACACAAAAAAAGTTTGTGCAGCTGTGTGTGCGTTTCTTGCATTGCCACAAGGGGCGCTATAGCTAGCGTATATAATTTATTCTTTTATTACAGATCGACTACTATTAGGACAAAGCAACTGTTTGCAGAGAATCTGGCTGAGCATGTTTGCTTAAGTTAGTTAAACCATCTACATGATTAGCTAGCTATCTGAATTATAACACGCTGATAACTCTATCGCCCCCTTAAGTTCTGGGGTTATGCACACATTCAGTTTGTTGGCCAGGCATTCGTGTCTGCATTTAAATACTTGCATAGAGTATGTTTCTGGCTGTACTTCCCAGTACTGGCAATGTTCCTAAATCAAAGTGTAACATTGCTGTATCAAAAAGAAAAAGTTAAAAAGCCTTCATCCTTTTGGTGCATTAATTTAAGCCACAGTTAGATTTTTCATCAGGCTAATTTGAATATGATGTTCTCTCACCAAGGACTGAAATCATACACAGCTGTCCCAAGGCTTTTAGGTGACATTTATGGAATGATGATCATGTAATGCTCAATCACGTTCCAGTAAAAGATCAGCTAAATTATGTTTTGACATCATCTGTTGTCTTCTTTTACCCTATCTTGTTTTTTCTCTGAAGCATAGTAAATAAATGAAGGCCTATATTGTATAACTCCCCACTGTGAAATCAATAAACCAAGGCTTGGTTTCACAGACATAGATTAAACACATCCTAGAATAAATCTGTGCCGTTACCGGTGGTTCTCCATCACAAATCTCCACTGGAGATATTCGTGGGGAGGGGCGGCCTAGAGTCAATTACTATTCGTAATGCATCTTCAGGAGAAAGGAATGAAGGTGAATAGTAAATTACAAGCAGTAAGAGAGCTCAGCCACAGTGGACAATGTTTAATTTGACATAAATGAAAATGAGGCCTCGGAAGTGACTGGAAGTACAAGCGTTCAATGGGCTTCATTCATAAAAACACAAGCAGAACAAATTTCTTTGTTCATGCTGGATTCTTTGTTCAAGAAGCATTCTTGCGTAAACTGTTGCAATGAATCAAAATTCGTTTTTTTTAATGAATGGTATGCACAGAACATTTAAAAGATGAAAAAGAATTATGGAGAATCAGTAAATTATAAATAATGTATTGCTATTGTGTGATAATCATGTAATCAATAAAAAGCAACTGCAGTATGATTATGAGTATTATAAAATGTAATTTAATCTGATTACAAGTACATAATTTTTGGAATATGATTACATAATCCAGATTACATGTAATCGGTTACTACGAACAGGACGCATTTCTTTGTTCATGCTGGCTTCTGTTCAAGACGCATTCTTGCATAAAATGTTACAATGAATCACAATTCGTAATTGTTTTGTATGAATGGGTTTCACGGGAACAAGTTTTTTCTTTGTCATATTTATAGTTTTTTATTTATTTATTTGACAAAAAAATTTTAATTATAAAATTACAAAAAGCTTAAAGTTAGATATTAATATAATTGGAATGCTATTATAGGTTTTATTAATAGTTATATATTTTATTTATTTTAGTAATTTTAGTAAATAGTTCTAGTAATTTTGTTGTTTTTGTAATTTTAGTTTAGTTTTTTAACATCTCTATATATTTATACATAGTATATGTCCTTTTTATAATAGTTTTTATTTGTTTTATTTTTAGTGATTTTAGTAGATCAAGTTAAATTAAATGAATATGAGAAATGTTTTTTTTTTTTTTTGGCAACAAGCTGAAATGAAATACTTTTTACATGTTTTGTTTCAATTAATGTTGATTTTATTTCAAATAACATTTAGTTAGTTAGTTAACTATAATAACCCAACATTGTCATTGATGAACAACAAAACCCCAAAACATTTTTGTCAGTCATTTTGTTAAATATGCATTTTTAATGTTTCATTGGCTGAATCAACAAACAAGTATGACATATTAACAAAATCCTGACATGAAACTCTAGATGGTGCAGTCCAATAGGTCTAACTCAATCTGACATAATGACATCATCACATGGTGCAGCTGATTGGTTCTTTTCGTATCAGCAGTCAATGAGCTTGCTGCTCAACATTCAAATACTTGGCTAGTGCTTGCTGTAGCAGTTGCAGTGTGCTTTAGAAACCCTCCACCTTCCCCAGCTCCACCTGTATAGATCTGCTATGGGGTTATTCATGTATGCTACATAGGGGTTATTCATATATGTATATGTGCAGCAGCAATATTTCTTACCAAAGCCTCAGAGAGTTGTCATGATAGAAATGTACATCTGGTCTTCTGCAGCCTTGTTTTTGTTCAGTTGTATATGGTTTCAACTCTGAAAGGGACTGGTTCAGTTATATTTAGGTTATTCAATAAGCATTTGCAAACACTGCTACATGCATCATAGTTTGATGTTTTAAAGAACTTTGTGGCATGACATTTTATTCGTATTAAGGCTAGATTTATGAGATGGGTGGTCTCGAAAATGTTTCATCTGAAATGTCAATTTCCCTGATAAATTAAAACCACCCAAGCCTCGCTTCACCTCTGTTATGACATATCCAATCATCCTTTTAGCCCATCTAAAGACAATGAAACGCCAGTCAAGCGTGCAAAAGCAGGTCTGCAGTCATGACTATGCTGCACACGTTAGCTTTTGTGTCGGAGATAGCGAGACACTATCTGAGGCTATCTAAGTGATTCATGGACTATTGATTCCCTAGTCAGTCCAATTGCAGGGCCTTCGATTGGAAAACCTGTTCCCCTGAGGCCTATCCATGCAGATGCCATATTGCTGTGTAGTGAAGCAGAATTGATATTAATTTGAGATATCTGTTAAACTAGTCAAACTCACTTTATCCTCCACTATAAGCCATTGTGAAAGACAGTCACCCTGGGAAAACAATATGTCATGCAAACAAACGCGAGACAAAGGCAATAAGTGCTTTATGATTTTTTTTTCTCCCCTACAGAAAGGAGAGACTGTGAAAAGGATACGAGAGGAGGTAAGCTACATGCTACTCATAAATATTGTCTTTCTCAGCTTCCCAGCATGCATCATGCGCGCAGACCAGACGGTATTCCTTTGAAGCTAGTGCGGCACAACACCACATGCATTTTTACACATAAATGTGGATTAATGCTGGAAGTAAGACACTGAAATGCCCTTACATCCCACATACGTCCTGAAAACAGTTGACGTCCGCCACATTAAAGCTGAAAGACTGCAGAAGACATTAATATTTAAATGAAGCCTTTCATCTCAAGGGCGCATGATGCGCACATGCGGCGGACTCTAATTCATTAGTTTGATATGAATGTGTTGGTATTTTCAAGGTAGTTGCTAATAACAATAGCTTCTGGGTAAAGATTGAAGTGGGTTACCAAGGAGAAAAACCCAGGAGTGGGTGAGTGTGTTCCTGTGAGAATAAAAAAATATATATTTTTATTTTTCCTGACAGTGCTGATCAGTAGAAATTATTTCTTGTCTCTAGTTCTCTAGCTCGCCTAAACCTCTACCTAATGGTTTTTTGCTTCCTAACAACATAAAATGTCAAGAAGATTGTGTTTTTTCAACCTAATTAATGGTTTGGGGGGTGGTAAATGTGAACGCAAGCTTGCGCATGAGGCATTCTCTATTGCATTAGTTGGGACACCACAGGGGTCAATCCTGGGCCCGATAGATGTCATAAACAGAAGAAATTGCCACTGGAAGTTTTTTTTTCTGCTGTCCTGTGCTATTTATTAGCAGAAGGAGCTTAAAGAAAGGGGGGCGGAAATTAAAATCTGTCATCATGTACTCACCCTGTCACACCAAATCCATACGACTTTCTTGTGCGGAATGTAAAAAGAGATATTTTGAAGAATATTCATGCTGCTCTTTTCCATACGACAAAATCATATAGTTGTGAATCTCAAAGGCATAATAAAACTACACTATAATCCAAATGTTTCGAATAAATCGTTCATTTCTATCACTCCACAACAAATCCTTTAAAAATTCAGAACAGAACAGAAATGACAAGTTTAAACAGTTTAAAACAATCATAAATTATAATGGAATTCATTATAATCACCAAGTCTATACAAGATTAAAGTAAAACTGAAACTACCTTTGTGCGGGGAAAAATTTGCTATAAAAAATTAACTTCGGCGCCAAATGTTTGCGCTTTGTGCACGGTTTGCATGCTTTACAGTAATTGCATCAGATAAGTTGGTTTGTAATATAAGTTTCAGGTGATTAAATATATATATATATATATATATATATATATACACACACATTTTTTGATATTTTATAAATAATATTAATATACAAATTGTATAAAATGTAAGTTATACTGTAGCTTCAATACACTGTTGACTAAACTCACTTGCATTTGCATGCATTTGTGCATGATTGATAGAGAGATCAGTTTAAATGAAGCTGACAGTCAGAGCCCTTCAAGAGAATGAATCATGCAGCTCAGTCCAAATCTCTGCTGGAGACATCCACACATTTAGACAGAACACACACGATACGCACACCTAACATAAGGCCTATGCGGGCGGAACTAGTTTCCCTGAGGAGGTCAGGTAAATTTGTGTTTTACAGATGTATGTTGTGATTTTAATCCCATCCGAATCGAACACGCCTGCGTTTTTCTCGCACAGCCCTGGTTAAAAAATACAGAACAAATTGCCTACTATTTTCTTGAGCGTCCTCTGAGAAATCTAATCCTGTCTGGATAGGAATGTCTTGTGGTATATTATGTTTTTTTTTACAATGCTGAATATGGTAACTATTTTTTTGTCTTCATTATGGATTAAGGTGTTTTTGCCAACTTGGAGTTAAAAAAACAGTTGGTGGTTCAAGTACTGTTGGCATCCTACCTGATGTAGAAAGAAAATGCATTTTTATTAATATATGTGCCTAAAAATGCACACATACCGCCTGCATATTTCATTTCTGAGGTTAAAATACAATACAAGCAAGGCCACAACTTTCCTATGCATTTGAGCAGAAATACTTCGTACTAGAGTAAATGCATAATATTTAGTTTATTTACTCATTTTTTTTTTCCTCTTTCTCTTTATCAACCTCCCATCCATTTACTGTTCCTTTACTTTTCCATCCTTACAGAGCAGTGCACGTATCAATATCTCAGAAGGCTCATGCCCAGAGAGAATCATCACCATCACGGGTGCCACAGAGTGTGTGTTTAGAGCCTTCACTATGATCACACTCAAACTGGAGGAGGTAAGTACAGGAAAACCACTCTTACATATACAAGCACGCTGAGCAATAAGCATAAAATATAATAAAAACATGCATGTCATTTCGCCAATGTTAGAGAAACAGTCCCATAAAAAAGTCAAACTGACCTTATTAGTTAAGACTAATGGAAATTGGATAAAAAATGTGTTTATACCTATGAATAATTACTTAAAGCTATGTTAAATCTACTCAAATTTGTCACATCGTCAACAGTATGTGCAAATAACTGATGTTTGTCAAAAATGAATGAATTCCGGTCAATTTGCAGTGATAAAGCTGTCAGCATGAATGCTTCTTAAAGAAACAGTTCACCCAAAAATGAAAAAATCACAATCAAAAATCCAAGATGTAGATGATTTTGTTTCTTCATCAGATTTGGAGAAATGTAGCACTAGTGAACTTGCTCACCAATCGATCCTCTGCAGTGAATGGGTGCCGTCAGAATGAGAGTCCAAACACATAATGAAAACATCACAATAATCCACAAGTAATCCACACCACTCCAGTCCATCAATTAACATTTTGTGAACTGACAAATCCATCAAGACGTTTTTAAGTTCAGGAAAAAAAATGCAAGTCCTCTCTTCCTAATATTGTTTTCTCCAGTGAAAAAAAGTCGTCTTGCCTGAATAAGGAGAGAAATGTGCACAGATCAAGAACAATTTTCAGCAAATTTTCATTTTTATTAAAACATGTTCCTATTCTTATTGGGCCCTATTATACATCCGGCGCAATGCGGCACCAGGTGTGACGCAAGTGTTTTTTGCTAGTTTCAGCCCGACGCAGTTGTCATTTTCACATCCTGTGCCACGTTGTTTAAATAGCAAATGCATTTGCGCCCATTTGTGTGCCCAATGGGCGTGCTGGTCTGAAAATAGGTGTGTTCAGGCGCATTGCTGGCGCATTGCTATTTTGAGGCAACTGAAATAGACTGCGCCATTGACCAACAAAAACCTGGTCTAAAGTAAATGGTGCAGTAGTTTTTTTGTTATTTAAAGAGCGCGTTAGTATAGGCGGGTCCACAGCGTGCATACACTCTGCTTATTACACACACAGGGATGCACAGCAGCACACAAACATGCCAAATATTAAAAATGAAAGGATTGCAATGTAAAAGATTATTATTGTGTAGGCTACATAAATA